ACCCCAGCAATGAGCTTCGACGAATTTGACAACCTGGAGCTGCCGTCCTCCGAGTCGATGTGGAACCTTGACGTCACGGACGACGAGGCCTGGCGTCTGAGCCTATCCTCTGCGACCACGCTAACCGTTCGGGAAGCTCACGACTGTCTTTTCCAGGGCGAGCAGACGCGCTACAGTGCCTTTGCCACTCGGGTCTTGATCAACGCCCTTTTCTTACAGGTCTGGAACCACAAGCGAACCTTCGAGGCTCTTCAGGACGTGGTCACTGAATACAAGCTTCGTCTTGCACTGGAGACATGGGAGAGTTCTCTGGAAGTTTGCGAACCAGAGACGATTGTCGTGCCTTTGAGCACACCCCAGAACGGACACCCATTGATCTTCAACTCAATGGCTGTCTATCGTAACACGCGTGCTCGCTTAGAGGTTGACCTCAAGTCAATCCAGGAAGCCTTGCGCTACCATTCTTCCTACGAGGTTGCTGCTGCGATGACTGTGGCGCGCGAGAAGGTGAAGCGGTCTGGGGAGATGAACAAAGTGATACAGTCATGCTTCGAGTGCATCGAGATTGCAGCAGTTCAAGGCATCAATTGGGTCGCCAAGACGTCGGCAACAAACTGGAGTGTCGAGCATCCGCTCTGCGGCTTGGATCTGATGGTCATCCTGAGTCTCTGGCTCTATCGCCTGGAACATGACGAAGAGCCCGCGTCCGAGGCTGAGCTGGCCATCTACAACAAGGTCCGGAATCTATTCGACGACGACGCCGTTGACGCTTTTGGTAAACTCAGCTCCACCGTGGCCCGTGTATGGGGTAACATCCTGGACGGCGTGGTAGTCTGGGGGTGAGTTGATCCTGATTCGAAAAGTGTAGAGAGTTGATTGCTAACGTTTTTTTTTTTTTTCTGTTTTAGAATTACCAAGCTCATGGGCGAATCGTTCAAACTTCATGCTCAAGCCTTGATCGGCTACGAAGACTCGTTGCGCGTTGCCAAGGATCAACCGATTCACCCAATGCCAACCAAGACACTTGCTAGTGTCGGGACTGCCTACTAGTCTCAACAGTAGGCCTTTCGACCCGCTCAGTGTACCGACAATATATCTTGCATATTGCGGTCCGCACTTCCTTCTGCATTCTTCATCTTTGATTGCGTATACTCTCGTTACTAGGCACTCATTCTACATCGATTTGGATGCTGGCTGAATTTCGGAACTCGGGGTCGGGAATGGAAATTAGCAGGCAGGTGGGCGGCAACGTGTGTTCTTCAACGACGGAATACGATGATCTGAACTGCCGCATAATGCTCCTTGCTGGTGATTCCCGACTGACACACTGCTTTTTTTCGTTTTTTTTTTTTTTTGTTTTTTGTTTTTTTCTGTTTTCCCTTGCTCTTCTCCTTATTTGAGATGTCTTTCTCTTGCATCTATCGTGGTTCATCCTGTTGGTTTTGGCAAGATCTCACAGGAGTCCGGTGTGGTCATTTCTTTGTTTTAATGGGTTGTTTCTCCCAGGCAACATCTCGACACCCGGCTGGTCCTGTGTGTTCTCCCTCTTAGCACTCGGTGGAGTTGTTGTTTTCGACATTTCTTTTCGAGGAACCCTTAATCCCTAGTGCGCATCTTTTATTCTCCTTTCGCGCATCAGCATGTTTGTGGTCAATCTGCCGATTTGATTTGTCCCTTGACCATATTGATACCTTGTTCGTTATATACTTGACTGGGCTACTTTTTATTCTCAACTTTCTCTTCAAGTCATTCCTTCAATCACTATTGATTCTTATTACTTTCTATTCTCTGACCACTTTTTGATTTTAATGCCTGTGCTGAGTTAGATATCGTTCTGAATCGTTATGTGTTTACGCCATCCCCGCAGCATTGTTGATGTCTCTTTCTCGTCTCTCCTCTCCATTTCCAGTCGTTCTTGGTTTCTGCGCTTGCATGTTGCGTTTGTGCATTTCGCTTTTCTGACTGCGTTAATGTTTATTCTTCTGTTTGACTTCTTGACCTTGGACATGCTCTATCGTCGTAGTACCCTGTACTATAAGTAATTTCCGTGCAAAAAAATACATGATTTAGCGGGGATACCCGGAGTCTACGTAGAAGCCTATAGTATCCATGGAGTTATCATGATTAGATATACGGAGTAGATCTGAGCGAAATATATACACAGACGAGCCCCCGATGGGTTTGTTTAATTATGTACAAACAGGGTCGACGAAACCCCGAGTCCAACCGAGCGATCCCGCGATCACCACGAAAAACCCCAGTGCAACGGCGACACTCGCGACACCATACACATAAGCCTGCCGACGCCGACTGAGCCCATTCAGCTCCGCCACCCAGGTACTCACCGTCGTCGCGCAGCCACAAAACCCATCCATGACACCCTGGAGCACCTGACAACTCGTGAGAATCGCATACGACGCCGAGCGCGCATCCGCCGCGATCGCCGTCCCGACCCCGTCCACCCGCTGCAGATCAAAGCACATGGCCAGCACGACCGTGCCGAAGATATTCACGGTGAAGGTCCCTAGCGGGAACACGGGCACGCGCCGGTTAAGGTACAGCGAAATATAGTACCGCAGGAGACAGCCGAGCGGGGCGAAGACGATGGCGAAGACAGCGCGCCCGCGCCAGGTCTCCGGAGCGCTGTTGCTGCTGTTGTTGTTGCTGGCGGAGCGATCCGGCGGCCAGATGGCTAGGAAGACGGCGCCGAGCCAGCAGCCCCAGCCAAGCAGGACGAAGAGCGGGTCGATGACTCGGCGGGTGAGGCGGAAGGGGAAGGAAGGGGTGAAGCGGTCGAAGGCGAGGGCGAGGTGGGCGCCGCAGATGAGTGCGGAGAGGCTGAGGGCGACGGTGGTGAGGAGGATGGCGAGGAGGGCCATGAAGCTGTAACCGCCATTGCGGGAGGTGATTGATGAGACGGAGGGGTCGGGCAGGTCATTTGTGAGGGCGAGGAAGACGTCACGGATGAAGGAGGAGAAGGAGGTGAAGCTGCCGCAGAAGCCCGTGGTGAGGCCGATGTAGAGCGGGATGGTCTTCTTGACGGATTTGTGGTTGTTTGCGCGTTCGCGCGCGGCGTTGCTGTCTTCTCTGGGGTTATGAGGGGGTGGTTGGCCCCATTCTTCGCGGAAGAGGTTCTTGTCTTCGAGGAAGAAGCCCATCAGGAGGGAGCCGCCGACGTTGGCCCATAGGACGCCGGTTACGACGGGCGCGCCGGGGTAGAAGGTGAGGGCTTGCAGGCCCAGACGGGCCAGGGTGCCAAAGATGGAGAAGAAGACGAGGTATGAAAGTGTGAAGAGGTGAGTGGCATGTTTGGAGAGCGGTTGTTGTGTGGTGGGAGTGCGCTTTGAGGGTGTAGGTTCGATGGGGGCCGCGGGAGGTTTTTCGGTGGTGGAAGGCAGCGCGTAGCCGGTGGAGGACCAGGATTGACGCTGAGGAGGATTCGAGGGTGTAGGAGGTGGAGCAGTACTTTCAGAGAGACCAGCGGGCTGGTCTTGGGACGCTTGCTGCATGACGATGATGCTTTTTCATGCTCTTACGCCAGATGCCAAGAGACCAAGAGACAGACTGGTGACGGAGGTGAAAAGAAGGGTGGGTCTGTTGTTATCAGAGGAAGTACTCTATGGAGGTGTCTGATAAGATCTAAAGATGTCATTGATCCATATCATTGGCATGCCAACAGAGATGCATTCAATAGAGAAGAAAAGATAATAAAGGATGAAGGAGAGATGAAGAGGAAAGGAGTTGGTGATGAGGGGGCTTAACTCTTCCTCCGGCGGCATGATTCACTGCAGCTCATCCAAGAAGCCTACAACGATACAACTCATCAGCCCCTCTCTATCCCCTCTTCTTCCCTTCCTCGAAATCCCTCTTCTTTTGTCTGCTTCACTTTTACATCTCGCAGACTATCATTCGAATCTAAGACGATGCCCCCCTCCAACATCCACGTATCCTCTCATCCCTGCCTCCAGGCCAAACTCTCCCAGCTCCGGTCGCATTCCACCTCCACTCGCGAGACTCGCAGTCTGGTGCATGAGATTGCAACCATTCTGGGTGTTGAAGCCTTTGCTGCCGGGTTGAAGATTGCCAGTGGAGGAAAGGTGGTGTATTCTTGCTGATCAGGAGCTCCATCACCCCAAATCGATATAATCTGATTACCTACCACAGGATAAAACCCCTCTGGGAATTGAATATGAGACGAAGACAATCGATCCAGCCAACGTGGCATTGGTGCCTATTCTCCGATCAGGATTGGGCATGATAGAGGGTATTCCCTATCTTTCTCTCCTGTCCTAACCCCGTCCAGAGCATTCTGAGCTCGACGTCCTTCGAACTACTGCTGAACAATGCTCAAGCTATCAACGACCTCCTCCCCGCCACCGTCCCCATCTACCATCTCGGCCTCTTCCGTGACAAGTTCACTCTCCAACCGGTCGAATACTACAATAACCTCCCCTTCCTGCGCGCCGACTCCCCCACCAACTCCACCGCCGCCTCCCTCGCCATCCTGCTCGACCCTATCATCGCGACCGGCGCCACGGCCGAGGCGGCCATCCAGCTCCTCCGCGAATGGGGCGTGCAGCGCGTGATCATGCTCAGCGTGCTCGGTTCGAAACCGGGGCTTCGTCGTGCGGCTGAGTGCTGGCCCGAGGGCGTGGAGCTGTGGGTGGGCGCCGTCGACGAGCAGTGCGATGAGCGGGGGATGATTGTGCCTGGGGTGGGGGATATCGGAGATCGATTGTTCGTTGCGATGGGCAAGTAGCAGGTGCAGGTGCAGTTGCAGGAGTACCAGCAGTGGCTATTATCCGTTTTTCAGATCCAATCGCATCGAAGCATGGTAGACAGACAGACAGAATATCCCATTGAATTGACCGTATGAGTACCATCAACGCCCCTTGTCATTTAGAACAACCAAACCACAACACCGTTTTACCATCCAATTATCCCATCGTCAGCTTTATAAACACAGCAAAAACTTGATCACAGTCATCACCGATGCCTCCTCATCTCCTCTCACGACCACCACCACGCAAAGACGGTAATCCCACCGCCCCAACCGGCTGCACAATCTCCCTATCCAGCATCTTCTCCTGCGGACGTCCCCATTCCCGGAGACGCTCGTGACGCTCGAACCGGAACGCCCGTCGAGCAAGGTCTCTCTGCCGATCCCTATCACGCTGCTTGTCGCGGCGGTCGGCGGCTTCATGGATATTACTCATTAGCCAAATCCCCTTCTAATTTGGGAGTCACACGTGGAGTATGGAATGTTGGGGGCGGGGGTGGATTGCAATACCCCGCCAGAAATAGATGTACACCGCCATGATCAGCAAGCAGGCGACGATGAAACCGAACATGACGCCTAGTTCGTGGCCCAGGGAGGGCATGGGTGTGTAGGGGGGTATGTTGTTCGGTGTTGCTATGGGTGTGGGCATTTTGCAGAGGACCGAGGACCTGTTTTGAGGGAGTATGGGGATGGGTTGCTGTTATGTGAGCGTATAAGGTATGATATGGTGATTGAGCGCGATAGAGGACAACACTAGATGGAAGAGAATCGTCTGTTGAGGTTATAAGAGACCAAGGCTAGCTTACGCCTGTCGATCTGCGGCTCAGCCTCTTTCTCGTATTCTGGATGATGCTCCAAGAAACAAGCAAACAAAGAACCTGCCGCTTCGGTAGGTTTTAATGATTGGACAAGATGTCAAGTCAACAGGCTAATATTTAATTAGCTATCATCATAGTAATTATGCCTCGGTGGCAGAGGTAGTAGTAGGTACATCATTGGTCGTCTTCACACCTGCAATCAGCCATATCAATATCCGTCAAAGAAGAGAGAGAAGAAGAAGAAAAAAGACGCCTGAAATATAACCACAAGAAAAAGATCAATACAAGGTATCATGTACACGTTCCGCCAATAAGATCGGCAACCCAGTCTATATCAAGTGAGGGTATGTCAATGCAAGTGAAAAGAAGAAAATATAAATCAAGAACATAGGCAACGGAAGCGCGCCTCGTCTTTGCGCAGGCCGCGGCGAATGTATGCGACGCTTGTAGCAAACAAGCCAAGATCATCGGACGGCTCAGGTCTGAGAAAGAAGAAGAGAAAACAAAACTCCGAATAATGCAGCAGTGCTGATAATGCGCAGCACAAAGCAGAAAAGTCGGCTGTATGTATAGAAGAAACCGTAATTGTGGATTCATTCACCCAAGCATCACCGCGGCCAAGGCCGTACAAGTCAACCCAATGGCCATACCAATCCAAGGTGTTTGCCCGAGTGTGCCTTCACTCCGTGCTCTCAGCGACTTGGTCAATCCAGATGACGCTTCCAATGAGCGCAGTTCGATAGATCCGTGGGCGGGTTCAGACAGTTGACCTTCCATGACAGGTACTGGGACTCTCTGTTTACTGGGAATGACTACCACAACAGGGTAGTCTGGACTTGAATTAGGGTCATTCTCGATCTGATCATAGTTTCGTTGCTCAGTTTGCATGTCTTCGACACTCGAGGGTGTCGTAAATTCCGGCGATGAAGCGGAGGGTAGGTTGATAGCTGAGTGTGTGGGAGCAACGGCGTGCTTTTGCTCGAGCTCAAGTGCCAGAGCCACGGACGGGACAAGCCAGAGGACGACGTTGGATATCTTCATATTTATTGTGACTTTCAATGGGTTGGTTGAGCGGCACAGGTGTTTCGAACGTCCGGTAAGCCTAGCGATGATAGGGTCGCCCCTCCTGACCCGCTGCTGATGCTGTTTCAGGAGATGACAAGTTCACACAGTGGCAATCGTCCGACGAGGCTAGGAAAATAGGATCGATTCTCAAGGTCGAATTGAGGAATAAGATTCTTGTTGAGCTACACGCGAGGTTGAGTCGAGCTCCGGTCTAGAGCTCAGGAGAGTATAGGTACTAAACGAGCGACTGTGCGTCTCCTGAATAGGAGAGATCCGAGACGAATTCAAAACCCGAGACGGTGAGAGCAAAGGGACGACACTCAAACAAAGATGTTGGGATCAGAACTTTTGAAGGCAGATCAGACAGATGAAGCCTGACGAAGGGGAGAAAAGAGAAGAAAATCAAGGAAGCACGCGAAAACAAACGGGCAGCAGTGGTCCAGGAGTCGGACTACTAAAAGACACTAAAATCTCTCAAGACGAAAAAACGAGGAGGCCCAGAACGAAAATATTAATCCACCTTTAATTAAATCGAAATTAGCATCGTAGGCACAGGCACTAAAAGGGGGATGGGGGGTTGGATGGGTGGGACCGTGGGCTGTCACG